CAAGAAGAACTATGCGTGCCCTTTACTAGAGTGGATTAACTTTTTCAAATCTCCCACTAGGGAAGAAAAGCTAAGGTCATGGCTTATGTAAACTTGCACTGCATGTGTGATTGCCGTGCCAAGGATCGTTTGTCATCAGTCTGAAGAAAGCAGTTAAACCTGTCCACGACAGCACATCAGGAGACAAGTCTTCAGCCGATGAACGGCAGCTTAATTCTACCACATTCATTCTCAAGTCAAACAACCTACACCCTTCACCTGATGAAAGGCTCACCAAACTTATTTGATACATCTCTCGACTCTCATCTGACAGTTTTAAACAAATATAGCCAGAACTTCAGGTAGGTAGAGGTAAAAAAACCCTGATGATATAACTGCATTTTCACATTCAGGAATCACAAGGTGATGATGATGAAAACTCAGGTGAATTTGTGTACCCTGTAGACTGTCTCAAGCACTCCATGCTGGCAAGCTAATACTCAGTGCAAAGAGATTACAAAACTCTTAAATAACCTTTAAAAAGGTAGCTTCAGAAAGCTTTATTGAATACTTTTGAATTTGTTACAGCATCAGTAAATTACATTCTGTATTAGCCTGCTGTACATTCTCAAACCAGTTTCACAGTATGTTATAGGAACTCTGTACTACCATCTTACAGAACAAGCGGGTTAGTTTGTAAGCGTGTATCGTGTTGTTTGAATGTGATGGTGACAGGTCTGACAACAGGGTTGCTTTGTCACACAGTGACACCACAGGCAAAGAAAACAGATCTCTTAAAACACTGTCATGCTGTTAAACCATACGGCTGGTCCAAAGGCTCTTTCCGTCTGCTGTCTTAACCAAAAAAAAAAAAAAATGCATCCCCATGTTATCACACTTTGTTGTTCATCCCAAAATAGGCACCAATTTAAGGCTTGTAGCAATTTTGACAGTAATCAAGAAATTTGTTCATTTATTATAGGAGTGAGACTAGTTCACTTTATATAGACTATCACAACTTTGTGCAGATGATGTCTTATTGCATGTGAGAAAAATCACTTTATATGGGATTCTTAAGCCCAATATTATTTTCTAAATTACTTTCTTATGTTAATTTCCTATATACTTTGTATGTCTACCTTGTGCAATTAACTTCCCTGTTGCCTTATCTGTTAAATCCACGGTGGCAAATGCAATATTTCTTCCTTGCTTCAAAATCTGAGCTGTAATCAGTATCTCTTCTCCAATCTTAGCAGCAGAAGTGTATCTTCAATGAAGAACAAAATGAACAGGGTAAGAGACTGTACAGAGCACAAATGCAAGAATATTCCTGCATTTTAGATTATCATGAAGGGAATTAGCAGAAAACCCAACCAACAAACCAAAACAACCCCCCCACACACCTCTGCCTGCCTGCTTGCAAATCCCCACTTCTAAGAAGTCCTTGAGTTCCTCTAAGTACTGCAGTGGTAATTCGGTATAGAAGTTCTCTGAGAAAATGGGAGGATAGAAAGACACCCATTGGCTTGCTTCTCGGGAACTAAGTTCTGTTCCAGTTTGGAACAGAAACAATCAGGTATCAAAGATCTCAGTTAAAAGTTCAGCTCCAATTCCAGCCACTGCTGGCTCCCTACAGCCTTTCTAAACCAGTCTGGCTGGTTCAGCAGCAAAATGTGTCTGCTACAAAGGCTCTGGAAGGTCACTTCTGTATGGAGCCTAAGCATAGGTTAACTGCTTTCCCTTACCCTGGTCAGAGAGAAGTCATGGAAATCTGGAAGGCCTTCAAACTTCATGGGTTTAATGCTGTTTCCATTCATTAGATAACTCTTTGTTTTTATTTACGTGAGTAGGAGGGTGTGCTTTTAAAACATGCTCTCCATGGAATTGGAAGAAATTCCCCCCCCCCAAGATGCCTGGAAAGAATTAGGAGGAACATGATCCAACCATGTTCCAGGGTAAGGGAACAATATTCAAAAAGGGAACAATATTCAAATGTAGGAATTAGAGGTGAATGTATAATTGTTGGATATAAATCTTACTAAGACAAATTTCATCAACTAGTCCATTTTTATACATGACACTGTCAAAACTATGTCAGTCGCGCGTAATGCTGACGTAGCACAAGACCCATTAGTTGACAGGGGGCAGGATTTCAATCTTGGTTCATTCTCAGAGGCTGCTGCTGAGCCCCTTGTGATTAAAAAAAAAAAAAAAAAAAAGTTTCTGTTCCTCTCTGTTCTTTCCATTACTGAAATAGCTTCCTCGTGACAACTTTTTAAAAAGCTCCTTCCCAAAAAGGAAAAAGATGTATTATAGCAATATTTGACACCACTTGTTGAATGAAAGCAGTAGTTTGGGTTAAACAAAGCTATTAATATTGCTTCAGATAACAAGTTTTAAAGGTTATGCTACTCAATCATCTTGTATCCCCTCCAGGGGCAGCACTTTCTTAAGATTTTAGCCTTATGTACTTAGGTAGGCATACTTGATAGCGTAAATAATTCAGATGTTGGCCTCTTGTTACACTACTGTAGGGGAAAAAACATAACCGTAGGAGAATTTCAGGTTTTCATTTCCAGTAATTTCCTGGTCATCACAGTGGTAGTATAAAGCTTAAATTAGATGCTCCAGTCCCACCCACCCAGTGGAGAAATCAGAAGGTGCTGGGGGGTAAAGGGGAAACTTGGTAAAGATACAGATACACCACACACTTTTAAAGCTTTTTTTTTTTAAAAAAAGACAGTTTTGATGAGGGGTTACTTTTCCAAAATTTTTAATGCTCTGTTAGTTATTCCAAGTAGGATTACTTTAGTTCTAACCAGTCATAATCTCTTCATTAAACATAATGAAGCAAAGCTGAGAGGCTATAATAGCATGATCAAAGACGGTCTCAGAACAACTTTTTATTTTTGTTGAAGACACTGTACTTTAAATTTGCATTATAGTAAGAACTATTTTCAGTATAAAACTGCCTTTAAATGGCCTAGACCAAAGGAATCTTTCTCCAGTGAGAAATTCTGATTCAATCTGTAATTCACCCTGTATGTGAGCATACAACAGAACTAAACAGTTTTCTGTTTTAATATTTTTCCTGTTTTAACATTTTATGGACTAGTACTAAAAAAGGCTTTATAGAAAGCTGCTTACCCTAGATTTTGGTGTTTGAGGACACACTCTAAAATATCTTCACAAGCGAAGGGCCAATATCATAAGACTAAAATTTAACACATCATCAATATTCGTTTACTGAATGGGTACCGTCTCTTAAATGCATATCACAAATAAAAGCTTAAGAAAGTCCAACTCGAATTTTGCAACCAAATGGCAGTATCCTCAAATGCAGTCACCCCCTTAATTTATCAAAACAAGACTTCTGAAAAAGAAAAAGTGAGTACTACAGCACAGAAATGAAGTACAATGGAGTCAAGACTGTGTTAGGGGAAGAGAAGTTAGTATGTTCTGGTAAACATGGTGGGTGATACCTACGTGATGTTCATGTCCACACTGACCCCAGGCATGCCTCTTTCTGTATACAGCAATGCTGTTGTTGACACCACATCCACAAGCGTGGCTGTCAGGCCTCCATGTAATGTGCCACCTCTGTTTGTATGCTCCTCCTCCACTTTCATTTCACAAACAATTTTTCCAGGAGTTGCAGAAAGAAGTTTCATCTGTACAACCAAAAAAGGAATAAAAAGCTTACTGACAACAGTACCAATGCCTGATACTGCCCTGGATCAAATTGAAGGTAAATCTTGTTTAATTCTGGATTTATCACACTAATTAGAAGATGGAAAATACAGTAATTCAACTGTCACATTAAGTATTCCCATAGGTTTTGAGTAGAAGATTGTTGCCTTAGAAAAAGTTGTATTTGTAGTGCAGATAGATATTTAAACCAAGTTTAACAAAATTTCAGTATTTGCTATGCTCTCAGGAATTGCTGAGGAGACGACATTCTTCAATTTTCCTTTTGCTTTAATCTGTGACTGAAAAGACAGATTAGAGGGAACATAAAACTGCTCTATCTGTGTGTTCTATAGTTGTGAAGGTGTATTTGTTAGCTCACAAAATGGAAATGAGACTGTTCATTATCATTATACTAGAGCAACCTCAGTAAAAATCAGTATTTTGAAACAAGCACTGGAAACACTAATCAGATTTGCTTTCCTGAACTGAAATTCATATTCCTGGGTAGAAGTATCCAAGGCTGTATCACGCTGTATTACAGCATCGTGACTTGCATATATGCTTTTATTCCAGCCCATAGGTGTTAAATAGAAAATTACAGTACATTTATAGTACTGTGCTTCCTCCTGTAACGAACAGAAGAAGCTGGATTTTTGAGAGCAAGAAGTTACTGCATTTCAGTTCTTGGGTTTTTTTTTGTTTGTTTGTTTGGTTTTTTTTTTTCAAATTTCTTCAGTTAGTACCACTATATTCAAAATCTGAAAGCAAATGCAGAACTGGGATAAGTTCAACATAGGTATTTACACCTACAGCTAATACTCTGAAGTACCTTTAGACCATCACAAGTGTAATGGGAGCATTATATTTATTATAATTCCTACTAATTTTTTTATTTTTTCTTACAAAGTTCTTTTTAACTCAGCTGATATGGTATTGGAAATATCTGAGTTGACTTAAGTCTTTCAATCTCAAAAGAAATTAAAATTGAAATGGCTCCAGTTTCACTATTGCTTATTTATAATGCAGTATAAAAGCTCAGTTTCAGCCAGTGTCCCCTTCTGATAGGCCAAAGTTTATCCCAATTTTGCAGAGAAATGATACTAAGATAAATGGTGGTGTTCAGTTCAACTACAAACGGGAAAAGTTGGAATTAAGCAGAGGGGAAATCACTAATGATTTCACAATCATTATTTCCTAATACATAAATAGCACCTTGATCAATGAAAATCCCAAGTCCTAAACCAGGCGTGCTGCACTGCACTGACTGGAGGTTTAAGTTTTCTGACAGAACTTCTAATGAGGACTTTACTGACGCTTGACACTGAGAGCAGATGGCTTCCAGTACTGTCAGGGAGTGTTCCAATCCATCAGCAAGGCAAGGAAAGCATCTGGTTTCACTTGTCATTGCTCTGATCTGGCACTAGCTGCCTGCTCTCCTTGACAAAAATAGTTCAGTATTTTAATGTTTCCAGGACTTACACAGCCAGAGCTGCTGGTTTGTACTCCTCCTCTCACAGCCCTTCTGTGCTTGTCCTCCCATGTGTCTCTCAGTGAACAGTTATGCTGCTTCAGCTTCCAGCCACTGCTGCAATGCACTACTTCTTTGGATAAAGGGCTTTAAAACCCACAGTCATTAAACCCTACATAGATACCATATTGGAATTAAACCAGAAACGAAGTCTGATGCTAGAGCTGAAAAGTTTCGGACTAAAATCTGTTGTCTGCAGAACAGGGAAAGTCTGGAGTCATATTTAGTGACCGTAAGAAAGGCTTCGGGTATCTCTCAGAAAGGCAACAGATTCTTTATATTCAAACAAAACTGTACTTCTATTGTTATTATGATTATGTTCACAGCATCATACTTACAGAATGAGACTGCAAAAAACCTCAAAAACTATTCCAGAGCAAAGCAAGAAGCTTGTCTCCTAAGGCTCACTTCCAGCCTGTTACCTTTATGAGATTAAATATGTCCCTGTCTATGGCAGGGGGGTTGGAACTCAATGATCTTCAAGGTCCCTTCCAACCTAAACCATTCTACGAGTCTATGAAATACTGCATTTGTTCTCCACTTAGTAGGATTTTAAGGTAAAGTAGGGTAATAACTTTACTCTCAAGAGGTGACTACGAATGAATTGGACTCTTTATAAATAAATGAATGTCATAAACTTCAAGTTTTATACTTTACATATACAAGACCAAAATGTCTTGTGGAAACAAAATAATAAGAGTTGTTTTGCAAACAGTTACTTTGTTAAATGTACTGTATCATGGAGCTGTAAATGAAAGCACTGCTTGTCTTGTAAAATGCAAACCACGTCAATTTTAAAATGGTTGGTTTTCTTAGATGTATTTACTGCTTCTCTCCATGTCATAGTTACACAAATAAATAGAAATCAAATGCAGAATTCTAGCATTGCAAAACTTAATGAGAATGCTGAAACTGCTTCACAGGGCCACACTACACGGGAGCTCAAGAACACATCAGTTATGCTATTGCACACTACAAAATTTAAGAAAACACTGTAACATCACTTCAGCTTTTTTTTGATCATAATGTAGCATTACATTACAGCCATACCGGTCAAATACATTTCATTGTGAGCTTTTAGCAAGGCAGCTCAGTATAGAGCTTTTAAGTGGTTATGTTTTCCATCAGACTTCAAGGTGAAATGTTAGATGTTATAATGAGCCATTTCCTTTATTTTTAAACTGAGAAGAGCTCGTTTCATGATTTCACAGTGCTGAAAATTAGCCGAGTGGCAGGTACAAGGAATGAACACTAGTTACTAAATAACTCATGGAAAGCTATTCAGCACAATCCTTGTCTTCAGGATACTGGAAGACAGCTCTAGCATTTAAAAAGAAAGGGTTACTGGAATAACAACTGTGGTTTTTTTTTTCTACCGTGTGTTACCACCACGGCCCCAGACCCCTGTCGGGAAACCCTGACTCCGGGGAAACCAGCGGCAGGGGCGGGCCTGCACCACCGGCCTCT